GGGGGGGGGGGGGGGGGGGGGGGGGGGGGGAACCTCTACACCTCAGAACTGGCGCCAGATACTACTGTAATTCACAAGTTCCTCCGTGCCCTCATCCAGTCTGAACTGTCTGAACTGTCACTTCCCTTGCAAGCGTCCCCTGTACCTAGCGAAAATGCAGGCTGCCAACATCGATGGCTCTGAAGTCGGGAGGCTTAACTGAGGGGTTGTATCGGGACGAGAACCTCTTGGCCCTACTGTAGGCGCCAGATATATGCCACTGCCAACTTGTTCCTTTGTTCCCTGGTCCGAGAAAGGGCCTAATGCTGGCGCCCCAGCATTCATCAAGCCTGTTTACCCCGCCCCGTACCATTGCATGTCCAGTACCGCCAACCGGTGGGGCGGAAAGGGGTCGGGAAAATCCGACGGTGGCCGTAACGGGATCCCTTGGTCCACAGTTGTCCATTTTCTAAAACCGATCTGATATTCTTTAATGATCATCTCCCGGTTGTAGTCGAGGCTGCCTGCTTCCTTTCTCCGAGTTTGGCCTCCATCCCACTTGATGAAAGCGATTCGGCCTCCATCCCCACCGCCCAGCCAATCCCCCGAAAATTGTCGGATTTTTTGTTCTATTTCCTTCTTTGTTTCGCTTAGATCCATCAAACTTTTGCCCCTCTGCCATTGTGTCATAAGTTCTTGATGTATGAATTGTTTGATCATGTCTGTCATTTCTTCCCCTGCTATGCAGACTCCCTCCATGACATATATGCAACGTCTCCTCCAGATTGCCCACATTACCGCTCTTCTACCTACTTCAAACATGTTCTCGTCAAAGTTACTAGCCGCAGGAGAGGTCTGTGTCTCACACAGGATTGTCCTCCAGTCCCATGGCCAGGTTGTGCCGGTGTCCAGCAGCCTCCAAATCCTATCCCACCATCGCCATGTGAGAACAGATCCCGGACATTGCAAAAAAATGTGTTCTATGGTTTCCGGGATCTTTCGGGTGGGGAATGCTGCGTGACACGATTTGCACCAGGGGAGTGCCATTCCTTTTTGTTCCAGGTAGGTGCGGTCTATTAGCCAGTCATTGGTGGGGAGGCAACGGTGCTCTATCTGCCACTGCAGTGAGGCTAGCTTCGCTGGTTTGGCTCTTGTGAGGGAGAACCACCGAATGGGGCGGATGACATCATCCCCAACATTCAGATGGGATCTCCACCGGGTTTTCACGATATCCTTCAAGTTCACCTTAGGGCGCAATAAGCGATAGGTGGCCTTCACTGTCAGGCTGAAGAGCTTCACATTCTGTGTCTTTGGGGCTCTGCCCGCGGGGGGCCACTGCCACTCCTCCGGGTCGAAGGGGAGATCTGCAATGGAGATCCCCGCCAGGTATGCTATGTAAGCCTCCTTATCCTGTAGCACCGCGAGAGACACCGAGAACATTGCGGTACGCCTTGAC